CACCACCATACTCATATTTGCTTTGTATTCAAGGATCTTTTTTGCCACAGCATTACAGCAGGTGGGCACAGCGAGTTTTTTGTCCATTATGAATGCTTTTCAGAGCACCTGCTTTCCAGGCCACCCTCCCTGATTTTTATAGACATGGCCTGCATACATCTATTCCTAGATGTAAAAACTTACATTTGAACATATTCAACAAGTTTTGTTTATCAGGTTTGGTCTATAAGAGACAGGGATGAAAATATTGAATAGCTTCTTTTCAGAATTGCATTAGAAACATCCCCATTCAGTGATGAATCCTCCTAGACAGCTACTCTCTAAGACCTGTCAGGTAGCCAGTTCCTACTCTGTTTAGTGTGTTTTACTAAATACTGTGTAGTGTTAATATTTTAAATAGAAAGTTGTGCCTGACAGAAGTCCAGAGCATTTTATACTTCTATGCATATTGGATAAGGGCATAAGTCACTTAACTGAGTAACACAAGGATGGTGGTTCTGATTTTCTTTTCTTTTTTTTTTTTTGCAAATTGCTTACACTCAAACAAATATCACTCACCTGTATATCACTTAAGTTCAGAAACAATTTAACCTCACAGGAACTCTTCTGTCCCACTGTCTCCTCTGTTTAACTGCATAGTTGGTGAAATTGACAAGAAGCTATCAATTTCAAGGCTTCTAAAGCAGCCTTGAACTGACTCGGTCCTGTTGATTTGGAGGGTGCTGTTGGAGGTATAAGATGCTCCAACCAAAAAAGTAAGGAGTTCTAGTGAGGTGCAAAAAGCTTAGCACAGGCTATTCCTTTAATGAATTAACATTGTTTATAGTGAGATCAGGCAAGAGCATACTCCTAGGTAAGCACCTAGCCTTTTTTACAAACTGAAGGCTAGATGCTTAGCAGGAATGTACTACTTATTAAATCCCTACTATTACCTTTGTCAACCAAAGCTACAGCTGTATCAAAAGATTGAAGTCTGGGTTGTTCGCCATGAAAACTATTTTCAATAAAACTATTTTGACAGGCATTAATTGTATTTCTGTCCATTAATCCTTTATCACATGAATCCCATACCAGCTATATTGTCATTTTACCTGGGTTTGATGGTTAAACTAATGAGCTTATAGTTGGGTCACCCCAATTCCCTTTATTTAAAATACAGTCAACACATTAGCAGTTTTTCAGTCTTTTAGGTATTCCTCCCATATCCCAGTGTTTATTAAAAATTAACATCAGCATGCCAGAGATCTCCCCCAACTATTTCAGGACTTTTGGATGCCTGCTGCCTGCCAAGTATATAATTATATAACTGTTTATTCCAAGTAGATGCATTTTAACAGTTACCAATGGACCTATTTATGCAAATCCAAGACAAGGATTTCCCCCCACAATTAAACATATGGAGCAGGGGGCTCCTCTTAGATTTGAGTACAAGGCTGTTTTGTGGGGAAGGGGAGTAACTCCATCCCTGAACCGAAGTTGGGATCAGAGTCAAAGCTGCAGCAACTGCCTGACCCCTTTACCCCTGAAGCCTCTGCTCCCCCTTCTACTTACCATTTGATGCAGCCCCAGCCCCACTCTGTCCTGGGGTGCTGAGGATAGGGTAGCGGCAGGGGGCTCAGGCACCACAGGGAATACAGGTGGGTGGGGGCAGACAGTAGGCTCTGAGACTTGCAGGCACCAGGGGAGGGCATGCAGGCACCAGGTGGGACAGGTTGGGTGGGTGGGGGTAGGAAACAGGCTCCCAGACATGCAGGCACTAGGTGGGACAGGTTGTGTGAAAAAGGGTGGAGGTAAGGTCACTTGCCCTCTGGCTGCTTGCTTCCTCACTGCCTGCCCCCTTCCTGCTGATTTCTCTGTTCTTGCACTGTTGGGGATGAATTTAAGATGACCCTCTAATAGTTAGATTCAAGCATGTAAAATTGTAACAAATTTACACATTTCCCATGTAAAAAATCTAATTTTTGAACTTAAGTTCAAAGTTATCTTGAATTTAGGTAAATATGGTATTTCATCATCCTCATCTGATAAGTATACAACATCCTGCTTCTTTCCAAATACAGAACAGAAATATTTATTGCATTCCTCTTTCATTTCCTGTTATCAGTTGTGGTTTTATCATCTCAAACTAGTAAATAGGACTAGGTAACAGGCACCACCCTTGCTAGAATTCCTGCATTTCTGTTATACCCTATTTTCTCACATATAACACACCACTGAATAAGGCATGCACCTTCTTTTTGAAAGGCAGAATTGAGGAAAAAAGATATTTCTTTGAAAATATTGGTACCAGTAAGTAACAGAGTACCAACCTCTGCAGCATGTGTCCCCTGTACAACATGCATAGGTTTATTTTTGCTTTCCCCTGGCAGAGGCAGGTACTGCTATTACCACATATCCTTGCTTGTAGTTGTCATTGGCAATCCCTCAATTTGAGGATGATCTCTACTACAGCTCATTGATTGGTCTTGAGATGATTTAATAGCCCAATCCTTGATCCACAGACCCATCTGCAGAAGCTGCAAGTCTTTCTGCAGGGGAGAATAAGCAGGCTGTTTTTCCTTTTCTTTCCTCTGTTTTTCTCTCCTGCTTTGAAAGCAAGATGCTTTACCTTGAAACAAGCTGCTGCTTAGGTGAGGTTGTGGTGCCACTACAGTCAGCTCTTGATGTTGGCATCTGTTTTCTTGAAGTATGCCTTCAATGTGTTCTTGTAGTGTTTCCTCTAGGCACTGTGAGATCTCAGGCCGATACTAAGCTGGGAATAGAGCACTTTTTTTGAGAGTCAAGAATTAGGCATCTGCACACAGGCTGCCTATGCATATGCTCGTTGGCATTCTAATTGGAGCATGTTGGAGCAGGCTTGATTAATTGAATTCTAAGTAGAATGCTCCAGCATTGCTGCAGCATCATGTGTATGAAGCCCCCATGCATTTTAAAATGGCCACGGGGAGCTTTATTTAAACCTCTTTGAATGAGGTTTCAATAAAGCATCCCATGGCCATTGTTAAATCTGCAGGGAATTAATGCACATGATGGTGAGGCATTTTAATTAGAGCAGCTGTCCAGGAACCACTCTAATTAAAACAGTCCTCCCTTCCCACCTCTGAGCACATGTATAGGCAGCCAATCTCAATCTGCCCAGTCCAGCAAAGTTGGTACTTGAGGATTACTGACTCAATGCTGGTAGCATTGGCTTTGGCAAGGATGCTGGCATTTGCACAGCAATCTTCCCATTAGATGTGGAGGATTTTCTGGAGGCATCACTGGTGATACCTGTCCAGGTTCTGGATCCACCCACTTTTCACATCCATAGCGGAGAGTGGGAATGATAACTGCATTGTAGATCTTGGTCTTGGTGTCCTTCCAGAGATCACAATAAATAAAGACACATCAAAGCATTTTCCCAAAGGAGGCACTTGCACACTGGATCTGTGCTGGTCACCTCATCAATGTTCGCTCTCTGAGGTAGGGGAAGTGCACAACTACCTCCAGGGTCTTTCCCTCTGTGGTAATTTGGGGAGGGGAGTCATATTGCTGGCCTGGGACAGGCTGATAGAAGATTTTAGTTTTCTTAACATTGAGAAAGAGGCCCAAAGTTCGGTAGGGTTGTCCGCAAAGATCCCGTGCATTTTGAGCATTTTCTTCAGTGTGTGCAAGGATGGCGCAGTTGGCGTATTGAAGATTAAGGATGGTTGCTTTGAGTACTTTGGTCTTCAACCAAAAATGCCCCAGATTGAAGAGTGTTCTGTCCTTTCAGTATGTTATGTCCATTTCAGAAGAAAGGCAGTCTTTAATGAGAACCAAGATGACTATCAAAAAAATGGAGATCATTATGATGTTGGCATTCCTCAGGTCCCCAAGGATTTCTTTGTTCCAAATTTGTAGAATAAATTCACTCCACTATACAGTGCAATTTCTAGGAGCTGTATTTTTGGAGGAAATGTGCATGTTGCATGCAAGAAACTATGATAACTTTCTTGTTGTCTTTTGCTTTCTCAGCTATGCGTTGTTCTCTGATTTCTTTAGGCTCATCAATTTCTTACACACTGTAATTTCTGATTTATATTGATTCCTATTTCCCCCCCCCCTTTTTTCTGCCTGTTGCATGTTTCCTTCTTATTTCTATTCCAGCCTCACTTAGCCACTGAACCAAGATAAGCTTTTAATCAAAGCTGTCCTCTGTCAGGCTTGTTGGAATCCTGGTTCCATTGCTACAAACTTCTCAGTAAGGTAGAATAAGTGGCTCGATAATCCAAATGCTGAAAGCTCCTTTGCATGAATAGACCCTTATACTTGTATTAGGGATTGTTGAAATTTAATGAGATTCTGTATGATCTTTGGGCAGGTTTCAGGATCAAGTGTACATAGTCACTTTTCCCCCCTCCATTGTTTAACGTAACATGGATTTTGAAAACCCAGTATTTTATCTTGTATATCCTAGATGCCTGTGGTGTTTAGATTTGAGGAATAGATTGACAATGGTTAGGTGTATAAATGGATTTGTACTTTTTTGTTGCTTAAGGATGCTGTTCTTTTAAACCTTATTTTTTCTGAATGTATCTGAGTTTTATTTATATATATATTTTAATTATTTTTAAAGTAAAATCTCTGCATTGCCTTTCCAGGGCAATCAGGCTGTGTGAAACAGGTGTGTGTGTGTGTGTGGGGGGGGTACGATTACTATTCCATTGTATACCTAGCACCAGCAGAACAGAAAGAACTCAATCCTGCAAGGTGGGATAGATAAACGGGGATAAAAACATAAAGAAAATCAGACCCTGTTAAATTAAACTACCATGACTAAGTACTTTATTCTTTCTCATTCAAGCCCTATAGGATCAATTAACATTGAACCCTTTGTGTTAAAAGAGACTAGCTTAAAACTACAAACGGTTCCTGTTGTGTGATGGTCTCTGAGAAGCCCTATGTGGTTGTACCAGCTAGGGACTCCCTCCCTTTGACCTCTGACCTCCAGTAATCTGCATAGAGGAATGACAGGCATTCAGTTGAACAGGAACAGTCGAGCTGGTCTGCAGCAGGAGGAGGTGGACTTACAACCAGCGTGCGTGAGGCAGAAGTTACAGGCTGATAGTAAGACAGCGAGCCCAGAAGAGAGGTGAAATGAACCCTTGGAAACATATGTGGCAGAGAATACATGACCAGAGGACCAGGAGAGCTGCATGATTGTTGGACACTGGCCCTCTTAAAGGTTAAGAAATGGGCCAGACCTCAGTCTCCACTCTGTCTGAGCAAGCCAGTGGTGAGTAGTACTGTACAGCAGCGGCAAGCCACTCTGCTGGACTCCCCAAAGTGTTTGCTCTGCGGTCTCTGTAGTTCCTCTTTCTGTAGTTAAAGGGGACTCCAATTGCCATCTGTTTAATTTGCCATATTTTTGGGTGACCTATTCATTCCCTTAGAAGGATGGAGGAGCAGAGCTTTACCGAATTCTTTGTCAAAGAAAAGTAGAATGCCTTTGGGGTTACAGCAGAGTCTGCCTTAAAGGGACAGCACACTTTCTTTTCTTTTTTCTCCCTAAGAGGATGCTGTGGTTTTTTGCTTGCATTATTTGAATCCTGTTTTATGTGTTTAGTCATAGTTAGATCAGGACTAACCTTTTTATTTCCTTTAAAACATTACCTATTAGATGCATGTTACTTGTGTTTGTTAAAAATGTTGTTGTCTTTTAAAGTCCGGTACTGTTTATCTGAGAGGCAAAAAAAGGGTGCTTTTGTTGCTCTGCTTCAAAACGTGTAAGAAAGCAGTACAATGGAGTTCTGCTGTCTACAAAAGCTTCTCAACTTAAATTCCTAACGCATTTGCATTGGTTTGAGGTGTGCATTTCCTTTCTTTTTTCCCCCCACTTTGTCTCTGCACAGTACAAACACCATCCAGCCGTACTGAAGCTTCTAAAGTTTTTACCCTTTACTCATAGTTCACTTGAAATTGCTAAAAAGCCATCAAGCAGACAAAACTGATGTGTAATCAAACAATGCTTTGTTGAAAGCTTTAACAAGCTCACCTCGAGCTGTAATGTGCTGTCTCTCCTGTTTCCCCTAACATTCTTTTTGTTTCATAATTTAAAAAAAAAGGAAGGAAGGGACCTCTGGCTCTTATCCCAGCAGAACGGATAGCAACCCACCCATCTGGTTGCTTTTGGCTCTCTCAGATTTTGTGTGTAAGCAGATGATTAAAAAATAAATAGCATGTGAGTGGAATTTTTTACAAAGCAGTTGTAGTTGTTTGCAAATTAACTTTTTGAAGAGAATATTAAATATCTGCTGTTTTGAGGAAGAGACATTGGTAGAACCTGATGTGTTTGTAGTTCCTGAACAACAGATCAGCAAAACCCCTTAATAAGAAAAGAGAAGAGAACAGAAACTCTAAATTAACACTGCCAAGGTTTGAAATTTCCTGTGAAAACCTCACTGTGCTCAGATTTTTTTTTTTTTTAACAGCCCCTTCCTTTACCATCGTTTAAAAAAAAAACACACAAAAAACCAGCCTGTAATAAAACTGAACCCTGTGAATACTTTGAACTTTATTCCTAGTTTGAGTAGTGCTGTAAATAGAGGAATCCTTTGCAAAACAAGAGTCATGTGGCAAACTCTTCTTTTTCTTTACTGTTTATTCATGGTGCCACAGCGCATTTGCAAATGGTGTTACACGAACATGGAGGTTTTCTGGAAAAGTAGATTGTGTTGCAGATTTTCAGTTCTAATCCAGATGGAAGAGAATGTTGAAAATTCCTTCCCCCAACCTACTTCATCGTCCAGCTGAGAGTGAGAAAGTTGGCCATATTAGAGCCTTTTAGCCATGTTTTTGAAGATCTCACCTAACAAGAAACACATTAAAATTGCACCAAGGTAGCTATTGTACCAGACAAACTTTTAGTTAAATTTCTTTTACAAACATGTGCCCCAAATGTTATGTACAAGCATGGTTTGAAAAACTTTTCCTGTGGATATGGTTCCTATACCTTGATCAATCTTATCTCTAGTATCTATACTCTCTACAGAGAACCTTAATAGAGGATAATTATGCTGCAGCTAGAATTCCAACTACATAAAAATCTGAATCCTCTTAATTGAAAACAGCATTTTCAATCAGGAACAACAGAAGAGAACCAGTTGAAAAATGTAGATTACATTGATGTTGCCTGACATTGCAAATGAGTTATGACTATTTTCACGGACAAGCATGATGCTGGATTTAAAGCACTCTAAGGCCAGGTACAGACATTACACTTTTACCAGTAAAAGTGGTTGGAAAATAGTCTATACCCATAACAGGACAGAAGTTTGGCACACACAGCATGGTTTAAAAATGGTGGAACCTAGTCTGAGATTTGCTTCCCCTCCCAGGAGGAATGTGTGTTCTGTTTGCTACCTATCTAAACTGTGCTGCTTGCAGAAAACTGCATAACAGATCAATTCCTCCTCAGACATTTTGAATGTCTGTACCTAGCTTAATAATAAAACTATACTAGTAATATGATGAAGCCTTGAGAGAGTTTTGCAGAACTGCAGTGAGTTCCTCCATATTTTCATCCAGAGGAAGACATCTGGGAAGCGCAGTCTCAGCAGGAAATATTTGAGACAGGTATTTGTGGCCCTTATGTGGGTGGTACAGATTCTGTTTTCTGTCCTGCCTCCCATACAGGAATGGCTTGGACACTTAATATGGTGCAAGGTCTTGGGTCCAATTCAGTTCTGTTGGAGTCCAATCCAGTGGTACTTGATTGTCTCCAAAAAATGTCATTCAATTTGGCATGCCAGGCAACTACAAGCTTCTTAAGCCTTTGACAGCTGCTAGAGATTAGAGAGTTGAAGGAGATCCCTATCTTTTACAGACAGGGGCTACAGATCTGTTTTAGTGCTAAGGAATCAATAGTACATTCAGACCCTTCGCCACCCCAGCAAAAGCAGCTGTGAAGGCCAGAGACTTCCCTGTTGCTTAGCCACTTTCCTGGACATGGGAACATTGAGGTCCCAGTGCTGCAGTATGTTTCTCTAGTGTGATCTGTTGAGTCCCCACAAAGTTCAGAGGGTCTGTGTGGACACAAGAGTCTGTGCCACTGGATCATATTTCAGGATGGGGGGCCTTGAACTTGACCAAGAAGGGGAAACTTGTCTGATGCAGAAAAAAAGTAAAACAGGAGTTTGAGGAGGCACAGTGGTGGTGAGATATGGTGGTGCTGGTAGTGGTAAAAGGGAAGAGTAGTGGCATGATGTATTTTTAAATCACAGGTGGTACTTTTTAAAAAGGCAAGAAGGGATGGGGAAATGAGGGGGAACACTGGAAACTACATTGTTTGTTGTTTATTTGGAAATGTGTGCCTAAGTGCTTAGATTCAGCAAACCGACGCTCCAGATGTTCTCCAGTGTGTGTTGCAAGATCCAGACCTAAACTTAAGACCAGAGCCAGCATCAACTCTGTAAACTCATATACATCCTAGAACAGACTCTTCCTTCCTTTTTCATAGGCACTTCAGGCTTCCACACCCACCTGCCACACACAACCAGCTCTCCCACGTCCCATTCATTCTACATAACAATACTGCATGTTTGGTTTTGAACTTACTACCAAGAATAAAAATATCCCTGGTTGAACAAAGTGCCCCAACATACACTTTGCTCTGTTGATTTTAATGGGACTTAGGCATGAGCTTAAGGGGAAGTAAATGTTTGATGAGGTAAGCTGAATTAAGGCCTATGTTGTCACTCTTACATTTTTCCTTCTATCACTCGGTTCTTTTTCTCCTGCCTGCTTATGTTCCCAGGAGTTAGAGTATTTCAATTAGTCTCTTTACTTGTTTTGAAGACCCCCTTTTCTACTCTATACATTCTGATTTTTAGGATGTGTTTTCAGTAGCAGTTATTATAAGTTACAGTGACAAGGAAGTCAGGCCCTAAATCTGTTCATTTCCCCTAACTCAGAGATTATCCGCAGACCACTGCCCATGGCCAGTGAAGCAGTTGATGGCTGTTTATAAAGGGCTAGCTGGTCACACAGTTCAGTTTTGCTTCCTCAGCTCAATCACCTTTAAAGACCTGTCTAAGATTCTACAAGCACTTGACAAGGGAAATGGTCAGATCGCTTGTGAAAGGAAGATGGGGAAAGGAAGATGTTTCTGCAAGTTAGTCTGTATTGAAAATGTGATCCACGCTGCAGAAAAGGTTTAAGACCATCCAGCCCTCATTCTTTTTCCTTCCCCTTCTTTAGTTTTTCCCTTGCCCGATAGGACTTGCTGAAACAGCATTCATTTCTCAATCACTGTTTGGTGGTTGGGGGTTTTACTTATGCACGCAAAATGATGATAGGAGAAATACCACATTTGTTTTCTGCTCAGCAGTTAATCAGGGGCATTCTATAAAAGACTTCATCATCTCAAAGAGAAGTAATACTTTTTATGGTAGTCCTTGTGTTGTTTGAGATTAGCCACTTTATACAAGGAGACAGATAAGTTCAAAGTAGAAAGGTAATAAACACAGTGGTAAAGTAATACTCAAAACTAGAACATATGAATTGGGTTCAACTAAAAAGAATGAAAGATCTGGTGAAAACTAGTAAGAGAGAGAGATCCTTATCTACCCCAGAAAAACCAGTGGTTAGGGTGGGATCTGAGATGTGAGAAACCAATCTTCAAGGCCCTGCTCCAATGAATATTCACATCATTTATACAAAGAAAGAGAGAGCGCTACCAGGAGAGATTGAAGCTAAGGACAGAAGTTACACGTAAACTAGTTTAAGTGATCAGAAACAAATTTAACCTGTAACGGAACAGAAGTTCAGTGCACTTAAATCAGTTTAGTCTAATACTACTTCCAATCAGGTTTATCTTAAATCAGTTTCAGCCATTTTGAAAGTGGTTTAAGT